GTTTACAATCAGCTGATCGGATCACTGTATCCCTGTGGTATGAAAAATGATACAGTAGATCTTACTATTGTCGGGACCCCCCGGCAAGCTAGGCTTCTAAAAAGAAAGAAAAAATTGTGTAAAAGAAATCCGCGGATTTTTAAAAATTAAAAACATGCTCTATCGGATTGAATTGTGAATCTAAACCTTTCTCGAATCAACTTATTAATCGCGCACACAAAATGAAACATGAATAAAAAATAAATAAAATAAGGTGGTCGCAATTTTGTTTTTGCAGTGTACTTTTGTTTATAAAACATTATATACCATTTACATTATATAGTTTTATTTTATGGATATGCTATTTATTAATAATAACGGTGACTGCTAGGAAGCAGAAAACAGTACCAGGAGTTAAGAAGAAAAACGAACGTTAGAGCGCCTTATCGATGGCGGTCTATGGCGTTGTCTCAAGCAATAATTAAGACCGGCGGCCGTTAATCTCGTTTTGTGATAGATATCTCTCATGAACTCCTGGTACAAAATAGACATTTTTCACCGTATTAAACACAATTCCGGTGGCCACAATCCACGGTTAACAAACACTAAAAAAACCTAACCTTATAATAAGTACCCCGAAAAAATGGAAAATTGGCGTTACAGATAAAAAATAAAACGGGTTCTGACGATGGTAATAGAAACTATTGATTTTTGGAATAATTATGAAAATTAATACCAGGCTCGCTATTTACATATAAACATGCTACATAAATCATTCTATCAAAAATCTGATTTATTCTTGGTTTTCAACAAACAATTTCTCATATATATATACATATCTGTGTCATGACCTAACCTAACATTTCAATATGTCATCGTCAATCGGTGCCGTTTACTCTTGATGAAATGTCTTTCATGTTGTCGATGTCGCTTATTTTTAGGCAGGCTAATATTGTTTTAGTATATACTTTTGTTTACATCAAAATTAATTGAAACGCTCAGAGTTTAAATAATAATAATTTCAAACAAACAAATTGACAGTTTCTGAATAAAAAAAAATTATTTTCAAAACTTATTCGAGTTTCGTCTATTACGGTCGAATCTGCAACTATGAAACAAGCTAGCAACACAATAATTGACAGCTTAAAGTACATTGTATCTATCTACTGTGAACAAACTGTTTAACTGAGCGACAAAACGAATGGATTTTACTCTCTATAGCCGCCGGTTATAATACATATAAAGAAATGGAAAACAACATTTAAAATAATAAATCATTTTATCAAATATATTTGCTAGTAAATGGTTCGAGCTATGCGAGCTGTGACGTTGTTACAAATGTTTATTTACACAGTTATATATATTTATGTTGTACACGTCGTGTACAGATATGTAAGTGTGGTGGTTAAAGATTTTTACAAAATCATAATAATGCAAAATAATAATGCCATATCGTTATAATAGGTATGCAATAAACTCCTGTGCCGTCTAACGTCGAAACTATGAATTTTTACTTCTAATATTTGCATGTAATATACTGGAAAATATCAGTTTTCTATTGCTGTACTGTTTTTTCCAGTACAATAGTGAACAATTTTTATTCTTAATTCCTTATTACGCCCAACCTTGTCATTCTACACATCCGTCTCGTGCAATAGTATTATATTTATTCCACTAATGAAGACTTTTATGTATACGATTAGAGAATACGTTCAGTATTGAATTCCAAAATGTTAGCAATAAAGTAAATCTCCAACTATGAATGTATCCTTTTAGTTAAAAATAACCCACCAAATTGTAGTCGGGGCACAGTGGGAATATTCAAGGTATGTACTTTGTTGGCCAAAATTTATATTGTAATTGTATTACAATATAATTAAATCCTATTAAATATAATTTTATTGTAATGTAATTTATATTGAAATTTGTATGAAATATGGTCTAAACAGAGACGTTGACTCATTAAAAAAAAATTTTATTTGTCCGTCGGTTTTGGTCCGTGGCCCGGATTTGGCGACGGTAGAATTTTTGTACTTGAAACCGTTTTGGGAAGACCAACAACAAGAATTTCTGCTGTTGTTTGGACCGATAACAGAGGCCAATGTCAATTGAAGCCGGGTGGAACGACGACCCCGTCTCGAGGTGACAGTTACCGGAGAATTTTTGGAAAACGGTACTTGGATTTACCACCCTTACGGCGCCTACAACACCAACGGTTGTTGATCAAAATCGTCGACGCCAGACTGTATTGTTACCTGACGGTCGCACTGGGAATTTTCGAAAAACAACTGTCCACACTAGGCGAACCTGACTTTGAGCGAATCAAAGACGATATATTTCAGGTTGTCCAGCGAGTGTGCAACTTGACGGCGTTCAAAGACGAATTTCTCGTGGTATTCATATCGGAATTGAAGTATGCAAGAGCTACCGACACCGACGTGATCAAAGACATTTCGGCAAGACTCAAGACAAAAGGCAACGAGATCCTTACAGATTTGAACGGTGCTGCACCACACACCGTCCATGTAGTCGATTGGCTTAGTCTTAACGTCACCGACAGCCACCAACAGCTGCTGTCTACCGACGATTTGATAACAACAGTCATCGGCGATTTCAACGACTATTTGTACGAATTAAAACGATTGTGCTTGCCGTTCAAATATAAAACGCTTTTGCATTTTGCCGATGTAATCAAATGGACGACCGCTCTATATTTATATGATTAAAATGAGAAGCTCAGATTCCAAACCGATTAACTCCACTTTTTTTTAAATTGCGAATAGTAGCATGGTTAGATTACAAAAGTGTATAGATTTCAGTGGCCAAGATAAATAAATCCATAGTTGAATTTTCACCACTAAAGTGCGCTAAGTACATTGGCAATTGTACTTACATACATTGTTTCAAATAACTTAAACTGCCTGTCCTCAAAAATGTAATTTTATCGAGTTAATCAGTTTGGCTTCTGAGTGCCTCAAATGTTGTACATCAACAACACAATCCAACGACATAAAAAAATATCTACAAATTACATTTTTAATTTTACTTATCAGTCCAATTTTAAGATGTTAAATTAAAAAAAAAATACTTAAAATAAAATAAAGAACAATTAATACCCTTTCTAAACTTTTTTTAATAATTACCCTTTGAGTGCGGTTTTCGTTCAATAGACTTGCTAGTTGCTACACGAATAAATTAGTCTGAAATCACTAACATTTTTTTAAGGATTTAACGTATTGTTAATTATATTTAACAATTTATTGGTTAGTGAAAATTGGGTTTCATCGAGATTTGTTAGCCTTAACACGTTGTCAGCTTGTTAAAAATTGAATTGGCATGTTAAAATGCCATAGATCGAATTATACGTTACTATTTGAGATTTGATTTTAAAATTATATTGTTATCACTTATTAGTGATCACATTTTGTGATTCAAGGTAACCACTTTGGTAACCCAACTACCATTTAGTTAACTTAACAAAGAGAATTTATTAATAATAATAATGTTATGGTGAAACTTACTTAATTTAACCAGATGTTCACTAACATTATGTTAAGAGTGTACTTAATAATAATTGGTGAAACCAGCTGTCCAAGATAACGCTTTTGTCTATTTAAGTAATAGCATTGGGTATAGATCAATGGGATTAGGTTTAGGTCATCCATTTGTAACAATATGTCCTAACCATCACTGTCCTGCACAGATGTCTAGTTGTAGCGAGCACCTTAAGTTCACATCACTGTTGCAAAAACGCTTGCTTTTCTGGTTGTATTACAGAGTAGCATCGTTGATTGTACATACTATAGAATATTATAGTCTAGACGTTTTAACGTTGTCCCTTGGAATGTGAAAGCAAGTCCTGATTGTAGTCTCGTGCGTTGAAAACCACATTAACCACTGGAATCGATTATGCTTCACAGAACCGACGGGTCTAATATGAATTAACTTGCATGTGACAAACCCTTCAAATCTAATTGACCGGTGATCGAATCAGACCCTTCCCTTCGACCCACCCCTCAACACAGAGTAAAATTGTCACTATATGGTACAAACTAGTGATTGCATTAGTCGACCATACGGCGGTTGCATCCGTTTACTACTCTAAAAGCAAATTATATTTATAAGTTAAATTCTAAGCAAATTCCTTTATTAGTATCCGCTTCTGGAAACGTTACAACTTACACGTGTGTATATACAATATTAACAAAACAAAAGAGTAGCCTAAACAGTATGTGTGGAAAATACATATACATGATAAGGTTTGAAATGTAGCTGAAAATAAAGTTGTTAATTAGGTGTCAGCTCATTATAGATTAAACTAACAAGCTTATTTATTCAAATAATGAATAATTCGGGTTATTTGTTCAACTAAATTATTCCGTTCAATTAACGAAATTTGATTTTAAAAAATGGATAAAATTCGAATAATGTCCAATATTGTAAAACGATAAAAACTAGTTTCTCCAAAAACCTACAAAATTGCAATTATTTTAAGAGGAAACGAGTGTCTTGCCCTTCATAAATCACCATGTATACCACGGGCTTTTCTTTTTAAATAATACAGCAGTATATCTCTTAAATACATTTTGTTGAATTAATTTTTACATCTTTTGGACAAGTTGCTTCTAATGAGCTTATAATCAACTTTCTATATATTATAAATTAAGAGAAAACCGAAAATTAAGCATTTATAAGATGTAACCTACAGACTTTTTTCAAATTTAAATCATTATACAGCGTGGGTATGAAATCCATTCTACCTGTATATTTTTATCTTATATTAAGGCTAAGAAAAATACTTATCTTCTGGCTATTAGTGTATAGAATTTAGTTTTTTCAAGTTTTTCCATGTTCTTCAACAATGTGTGATGGCGGTCAATTATTATTAATTATTATTATAATACACATCCCTTTGTATATTGTTACGTTTAGTCGTTTATATTTATTGTATATAAAAAATTAAAAAACAATAATATATTTAAATTCTAAATAATTATAATCAATAACGCCATAGGCTCCTCACTGTCGGCCTCGGGTGCTCAGGCGCCGCCTTTCTTGTCTTTAAGATCCCCAGTACTCTTGGACTCTTGTGATTGGTATTCTTTAATGATTTTAGAGTACTCGGTTGGGTAATTGGTTTGTAAGTGCGACAGGACGCGTTCCACTTGTTTTACTTCGGTCGGCGAGCATTTAGCGCACATTCCTCTTAAGACCAACGGGGCGCTTACTAAAAATTACAAAATAACAGATTATGGTGATCTTTCCATCGCCAAAGATGTGAACAAATTTTGGTTGATTTTTAAATTGTAACAAATACACATACCTTTGAGTTTCCTGCCAATGGGATCACACGGTCCGGTACCAGTTGCACATTTCAACTGTCTCTCGACAAAACGTCGGTCCTTGAGAGCGCTTTCAAGAACGTCGTTGGGAACTTGGGGAAAGGGAGTGCTCGACTGAGACTGTTGCCCTCCTTGGATTGGAGTGGCTCTTTTCACTGGACCACCTTCCGGTCTACCCAAGACGCCGCATATGCAAATTGCAACTACAAATATCTGTGTCGATAAAAAAATACATCAATTATTACAATACAATAGTGATACAATTCAAATTAGCGATATTTCACACTAATTTTTTACGACTCCAATATTTTCCATCCATATGGCCACTTTATTAAAATATATATTTTTTCATAGCACTGATGTCAAATATTTCATAACGACTTAGTAAAAAAATATATTTTTAATAGCACTGATCATCCAGAATAATAAAATAAAATGTTAATATTTTATGTATATTTTATTTTATGTGTCATTTTATATCTGCATAGGTCATCATATTTCAAGTACATCTATAAATAGAAAATATCCAACAGCTATTACGAAATGGTACACCGAACGACCGCAACTCGAATCTCCTTACAGAATTGAAACTGAACCATCTTGAGTAGTCAAAATGTTATCTAAAATCACTTTTACTAACAATTATTTAAATTAAAAACAATACCCGAAACTCATACAAATTAACCGGTAAGAATTTAATAAAATCCTCTTTTTTCTTAAATATTGCCCATACAAAACTCTTTAAACCAGACCGCGTGCAATCTCCTTGAAAAGTAATATTAACAGCTTACAACAACTGAACTGTTGTATTTTACACAATATTTATCTTGGAATTATATATTTTGAAATCGGTATCATTGAGGACTTACACGCTAGTTAAATAAATTTTTATAAATTATTTTTTAAGTCATTTCAGTTTTAGAGTATATCTGTTCTGGACCAAAAAACAATGCAATTTAGAAAATGTAGTTTTGTTTGAAATAAAGTGATTTGGAATTATTCAATAACAATAATACCGACAGCGTTATTGGACACGCTAGGGTTGATTTATTTTTTTTTCAGCCTATTAAAAGTGATTTATGCAAACGTGCAAATTATATTATATTATTTATTGACTATTTTATATGTAGGGATTGGCATTTTTCTAAATCGAATCAAATTAACCCTTGACGTTTATATTAGGTGGAAAAACGTCACGGACACACCTATCAAATCCATAATACGCATATGCAGTGCTCTTTGTTAATATTCTAATAGCCATCATACTCCGTCATTAACGTTTGTATATTAAATAGGTAATAATATTTTATAGATTCCAGCCATACATAACAGCCGTCATGTGGGCCAACGACAATATTGGCTTCCAAGTCGATTTATGAGTGGAAAATAAAAATTAAATTATGAAAATTGCCCGTCTGTGACGCAAAACCCGGAAAATTGACGGCTTTCCCTGGCCTGCCCCACCCTCTTCCCTTACCGGTAATACAATTTTTATAATATTTAACCGAGGATCCAAGGGGTGGGAAAACTTCTACCGCCGTTTTTAGCCGTCTCCGCAATATTTATCGGAATTGGATTTAAAAAATAAAAAAAAAACACCGAAAGTGGCTTAACCCGGCCAGAGGAGGAACCCAATAAGTATATTTTTTATAATGGTCTGCGGTTAGGTGGTGGTGTATTTATGCGACAGGAGGTGCCAAAACCTCAAATCGTTAACCAAAGAAACCGACGAAGGGAAGATGAGAAATACAGAGTGATCCAACTAACGTAAGACACTCATTTTCTCTGAAAATATGAATATTTTGAGAATTTTTTTTCCCCTTAACTTTTAGGTACATATTTTACTACATTTTTCAATATTTTAAACATTTTTATCACTAATCCTTATACGCCAAAAGGGAGGATTTTTTTTTAAACGGCAACATGTTTTTAATTACATAAATTTGTAGGCAAAACAATTTAAAATATGTTAGCGTTTGAATTTTTCATTTATCAGCTGTTCATTATCTATGACTTTGTTAAGATACTACATTTACTCTTAATAATTATCATATTTCTTCGGTTTTCCAAAACCGGTAGCACATAAAATTCATATTCTTTTATAATACATTCGCATTGTCCAATTGGCGATAACATTCTAACAACTCTAGGAAGTCACTATAAACGATTTTGAAATAATTATAGACCAACGGTTCTTATCTACAGATTACTTAGACTACAAGTTATTTATTTTGTGCGTTGTATAAAAACTACTCGTCTTTGTAGTAACGATTGAAAATATTAAGAAATACAGTCAAAAAATCAAATCTTTAAAAAGTCATAACAAATGAACAAATAAATTAAAATTCAAAATTCAAACGCTAACATATTTTTTTATTTTTTGTCTGATAAAATGGTGTCTTACGTTAGTTGGATCACCCTGTATATGAGAGAGAGAGAGAAAATTCAAATAATAATCTGTCATAACCCCATTTGATTTCCTCTCGACGGAATCGCCTTATTTATATTATATATATTTTTATGTCGGCGAACGTTTACTCTATACTTACTTAGGTTTTAAAAAACAACAAACGATTCCAAACGTTATTCTCATGTATTGGCGTTGAAAAAAAAAGTCCAACTTTTCCTTTTCCTTTGGTACAAAAATAAAAAAACATTAATAAAATATGCGTTACAAATTTTTTTCCCAAAACTTCTTTTTACCGTGAACCTTTTAGTCGCAAGTTAATGATGAATAAAACATGAGGCGGCGACGACGACGGTTTAGTGCTCTGAAGAAATTCAAGAAACGACAACAATAATTCCAGTTATTGTGTTATTTTAAGATTTTTACATATTTGATCACTTTAGTATAATGAATAGTTTTTTTTCAGATAGAATAAAATGTTTTTTTTAATATACAACGGTACATTACAAGGCGAATATTATGATACAAACAACTGGTATAGCATTTAAACTCTATCGTTATAGTAGATCTGTGCCTTTGAAATGCGCCTCTAGGCCGTTAAGGTTTTATAAATAGAATCACTGCTTGAAACGCACAAAATGTGTTCATTTAAACATAATACGTGCAAAAACTGATCACACTGGAATAAGCAGTAAAATTATTGGATTACCATAAAATTTGGTCGTATTAAATCCCCCCCCCCCCCCAAAAAAATATGATATAACCAATGAATATTGTCATAATAATGCACACTACAATACAAATTCAAAATCTCAAGCAAACGAAATTAATATATGGGCATCATATCACGTTTTTTTTCTGACTAAATTAATAAAACTTTAACAGAAACTGACACTTTTTTTTGTAATCAACTTTTCGTTTTACATACAAACAAGTTTGTATATTAATGTTGAACTTGCACAGCTCACGCGTTTGAAAAAAATAAACAATTTGAATAATATTATTACTTTTTGTTCGAAATTTAAAACAAAACCGACGCTATTATTAGTTTATTGTAATATTATCAAAGTAAGGTAATATTGTGAAAAAACTACTTTCCAAAATATGTCTTATAGAAATATCATAACGGACTTTGTTGTAATTAAATTTAACAGTTTATTTGTATTTTATATTTATTCAAAATTATTAATCTAATTTCCGGATTTTTGAAATGAGCATCTCAGAAGACATAATGGATTTAACACTAAACTGGTTATTAAAACGCATTGTTCATAATGTCACTCTGCTTGTTAAATCTATTACAGATGTTGTTTGATGTTTGACATTAAAAATTCGCCCATTAAAAATACTTGCTTGAACAGAATGTATTAATGACTTTATATTTTTATGAAAACAATCACTTGGATGGATTTATAGTCATTAACTCGTTATTAATTTGCAATTATCAACCGGGACATTGTTGTCAATGAATAATGCCTTTTACGGTTTAACCGGGAAATCATTAGTAAAGCCAAACATATTACACTATTTTAATAGACTTATTTTTGTCGACCTATTAACATTAACTAAAATAACACATTCCTGTGGATACAGAGGGGATGGGGGGGCTATAGGGTCTGAAGTCCCTCTCTAATGTACTTAAGTTGTATGCATAAAAAAGCGTTATAGCTTATTTAATTTTTGTCTACCCCCCCCCCCTTTTTAATCCACCCCTGAAAACAACTACCAAAGTAAATGCTTGTATAATGAAATCTATGTGTGTGTAAACCCTTAAGGTAACGATTGTTATTATTGAAAAAGTTCAAAGTTCAAGTTATGAGTTATTTTACAATACAGAAACACATATATTCAGTTTTAAATAAATAAATACATATTTAGTAGGTACACTTGTATATTTACATATTATTGTGTCTATGTTAAATTTCTAAAACAGGTTACACGTTTAACTAATACTCTAAAGACTTAAATACAATATAATATATTAAACGGCGGAGACATGAACGACAAAACAATGCTTACTTGCCATAACATGAAACATTTCGCTCACCCTAAGAACAATAGTACAACACTATTTATACGATTATTAATATTCTAACTGCTTTATATAGTTTAGTAAATTATAATATTATTAATAAGAAATAAATTAAAAATTTCATTTACTCACTCTCATGGTGTAAAAGGTCTGCGACATGGTTGATGGCTAAACGGTGTGCCTGCACGACAAAATATGACAATATAATGAATCAATTAAAAGAAACAACACTATACTAGTGAAGGTATCCGACTCTGGCTGGTTCTTATAGTTTTCCCTACTCGGCTCCATAAGATGTACAACGACTACACGCACGCACACAAATGACTAATACACCACAAATGGACTAACCTTTATGATATTAATCATTTTTCTAATAGGTATAGGTACTTTCTAGACCATTTTCATTGTTTAAGCAATTGTGGCTACTCGAATGCATCACCTATGACCAATACAATACTGTGTAAAATAAATGTATATGCCCAAACTGTAGTGTTTAATACATATAGTACATATCATATCAGACAAGTTTGAGAAAATATTATGATCACGTTATAATAGACGGCTGTAATGGTCGTTGGTCAAAAGACCGCCACAACTCAAATTGTTTGGGTTTTTTTGAGATAAGGCTAGCTGTGATTTTTATCTACAAAACGGTCTAACGCCAAAAACCAAATGTGGCAAAAGTTTAATGTTTTTTGAAAACTTTTTGCTAAATAGCCATAATAATATAGTTATGTCTCGGAATAGAAATGACATTTTTCATACTATGTTATACATTAAAAAATATTTTTCAAAAGTAGGATATAAAACAGGTTTATTATTGTATAAACTTTAGTAGGGAACTTAAAATTCCTATAAACGGGTCGATTTAATTTTTTAAATATTCATTTTTAATTTAAATTCAACCTAAGGAAAGTTATTAAAAGTTGTTATTGGGCCTTTGTTCTAATCAAAACTTTTGAAATTTTAAGTTTATATTTATTTAATAAAAAAAAACACTTGTTCTGTGTATGAAATTTAAGATTTTCATTCAATATCATGCAAAATACTATATTATCATGCTTAAAAAATAAAAGTGTCATCATATCGAAAACAATTATATTAACTTTGAGAATATCGCAACACTTAAAAGTAGTTATCACAATATCATACTTTGTAAGACGTTTTTAATCACAACTGTACTTTGGTTTAACAAATCAACACCTATTGGGCCCTTTTTCTAGTAAAATAAAATTATGTTTTCTTATTAATAAGTATGATCCGGTATGCATATAGTACTTGGTCAATATTCTACCACAATATCAAATTTAAAAAATAAGAAAAAACGCATTTGACAAAGAACCCGAATGGGGGCTCTTGTTCTAAAAATTTTCTCAATTGTCAATATTTAAATATTATAATCAATTATGTGTAAATCAACGGTAAATTTGAGTTTTAGTAGTATATAAATGATATAGACAATGTTACTCGACTGAAGAAATATATCAGCTAGAATAATACTCAATACTTAGTGACATGAATCATGATTGTTATTTCAACACTTTGTTTAACTTACTATTATAATTTAATATATTTACAGGTAACATAATTATGAGTGAATAATTTTTCCAAAAAAAAAAAATATATATTTCTCAACTATAACGAACTTATTGATGTTATGTTTTTTTTAATAACTCTAAAAGTTGCACATTACTATTCAGTACAAGCCAAGAAGCGTTCAAATCAAAGTAAAGTCACGCTAAATGTATAAAGTATCCAACATTAATGTCATAATCTATGTAGAACGTGTCTGTTACTTAAAAGGATTAATGCCTGGCTGTGCTTTTGCTAAACCTCATTAAAAAAAAACTCGCAGATTTTCACCCTTTGAATACGATTCAGACTTAATTAAAAAAACCGTCCCCGTAACGTTTGACCGCGTGTAATTACATTTTTTATTAATTCGACATATATTACTGAAGCAAAATATTTTTTTTTTTATTCATAAAAATTAATTATCGAACCTGTAGAAAACTGGATTTTGTTGTTAATTGTTTCTTGTATACTATTCGAGAAACTTTAATTACTAAAAGAGTGGTTTCTTGTGGGTTTTTTTTGAAAATTTTACTATGTGTTTTTCCCGTGGTAAACGAACGGTTTTACCGAAAAATCAATGTCGTGTCGGTCTGCAGGTGCCGGCATCAATCGTGTGGCGGGTCTTTAAAATATCATTTAAGAATTTATATAAGAAATATGTCGACAAGGCCGTTTGCCCGTTTAAAACGCCATTAATATAATTTGCTCGGCCCGCAGATTCGGGGACGGCAATTATAATTATTGTTGCTATTGCTCGTTATGATGTAAATATATCCAGCTAATTAGGTACTCTGCCTTTTTCGAATACTTCAACAAGCATCCCAACATTGTAACCCGTAACCTATCTTTTCACTTAGAATTGCGTTTTCAACAGTTGGCACCATTGCTGAGTTGAATGCTAGCATAAAGGCATAAATACACAAAAATTGAAAAATAATTAATAAACAATTCAATTTGTATTATTGAAACAAAAAAACGACCGCTGTAATGAGATAATTTTTTTTAATAAGCGACAAAAATCAATTCTAACCAGTTTTTTAGTCTAATGTCCGGTTGTACCAAATATTTACACAGAGACAAACTCGTTTAACTGGAGTTAAAATAAATTCTGTTGCATAAATTATGTTTTAAATTTTATCTGTTGTTAAAAATATACTTTATCACGAGTTAAATTAGAGGGTCATTTATCGCTGTGTAAAAATGTATGTATAGTTAAATTTTGTTTCAATGTTTTGCGTTAAAGTGGTGATAATGAAAATGTGCGTTATCAGTTTATCATTGATTAGATCCTGTATGATAATAGTATTAACTCCTACTGCTGATACCATTTATTCGATAACCAGTATACTGGTAATATAAAACCTGAATATAAAACACCATTGAGCAACACTCGTAAATTTAACACATGTTAGTTTAACAAAAGTTAGTTTATTAGGCTGGTAAATAACTTACCAATAGATAACGACAAGTTTGGTGCAACCGGGCATTAATGCATTAAAAAAAAAAACCCAAATGAATTGTGCAAATGTATTTTATTTTCAAATAACACACAACATCAAAATATTTTTTGCGATTTTTGCGCCGTCTGTAGAAGTCTAACCGTGTTCCTTAATAATAATAAAAGAATGATAATAATTAAGATTACACTCAAGATAATACATTTAGAATATAAATACATACACATGACTCACAGTCACCGCCGGTGTGCCGTATTCTCTGGACGGGTTTCTTACAACGACACTTTTGGCAGCCGCCAAGTTTCTAACGCTCTTTCCGATTCTCATGCTCATCGAACCTCTCATCTTGGTTTGTCTTTCTTTGCGCTTTTGAACGTTAACATATTCCTGTTAAAGTATAACAAATCACAATAATAATATACAAATAAAAATAAAAACAGATAAACTGCCTCCTGATTTTACATCGAATCGTTTTTTAATCTCGTTTTTGATTTTCGCATATTTGGCCAATATTTCTTTTAATCGTTTCTTGGTTAAATTGAGATTTTTATGAGCTTCCATCAATTCCAATTCTACTTTGCAGATTTTACGGTACAAAAACTTTTCCTCGTCCGGAACAACAATGTTCATGTCGCTATCGTACGACTCTTCTTTTTTGCTATGTCGGTTTTCTAAGCGACCACAAACAACACATTACCATATTTGTATCTATTAGTTGAATTTCATAGTAAAATAATTTTACTTTGAATTTCAGACATGTAAGTTCGCATTTTAGTGAAATCCTCTTGAACGCTCAGAGTTTTTTCTATAGCAGTAACCAACGTCCTAGTAAAAACATTAAAAAAAAAAACCAAAAGATCAGATCTATTTAACAAGATCATCATTTCAAGGAAAGCCAATATAAGGGCACGTTAATGTATTATTGAGTAGTCACATATATGGTGGTGGTTTCAAACTAAAATTGTCTGTACTCCTTAAGTCTAATAATAATTATAAATAAGACATTTTCAAAAAGGAAACTAACCAAACAATTTTGCCAATGTTTAAAATATATTTGCAACGTTATTTTACATTAAATTTTAATTTGGTCTCAATTTTTTCGGTTTTATAGAAATATTATTAAGTTTTAAATCTTTCTAACGGTTTTCTCGGTAGAACTATTATGGGATTTTATAAGCATTAGGTTTAAACTTAAAATATTGTTAAACGTACGTTAGTAAAAATAACCTCTTATACGAAGCAAAATGAAAACGACCTCCTTCTAAATTTACTTAATACTTTGAAGGCGTCAGAAGCGTCTTAACGAAAATATGATACTCCTCCGTTCACGTCTAAGTATGAAAGGTAGGTAAATTTGTATCATCCATATTTTTTTTTAACAAAAACTACTGTTTTTTAAGCAAATAACTAAACGTTATAGACTACTGTTATAATTCCAAAAACTCTTGACATTGTAAATCGTTTCTATAGCTCTAAGCCGACTCACTACTGAAACGTTAAGCTACACAATAGTTGTGTGGTGGAACGCCTAACAAACTAATACCATTGAGTATATATTATACTCAATGCTAATACTTAACACAATATTAAGATTTAAGAGGGTGTTGTAGATTTACTTGTAAGTAGTGTCGATCTGGCCTGCCACTTGTTTCTGTTCTCTCAGAGTTACTTCACTTTCTTTAGCAAAGTTCACCCATAACTTGTCCAACGCCATTGCGCTATGGGGCGTAAGGACGTCCGTCATGGATTTCCTCAAGTCTTCAGTCTGCAACAAAGTAAAAAAAAAAATTACCCTATATAATACACAAAACAGAAATACCTAATTTATTCAGTGTGTTAAAAATACCATTTTAGTCATTAAGTTCGTCTCTATTAACGTAAAACTTTTAGTACGGAACGGCTCTGTTGCTGCTGCTGCTAAAATAAAATAAAATATATATTATAATTAACAATTTTGACTTCAGTGTTCAAATCTACATTGTTCAAGGCAACATTTTACCGGTAAGTCCAATTTTCTTATAGGTACAAATGACTACAAAAATTTAGTTTGAAAACTGACTACTGGAATAATACTATAGACTTTATACTAGGTTGTACAATGTCAGTTTTTATTTTTAAATTAAAAATTCATATTTGTAATTAGCATTTCAATTTGAAAAATAATTAACATAA